GGCGGCGGCAAGAGGGCCGCAGCCCTGAGCGGGGCGGGAGGGGCGGAACATGTTTCCGTGTGGGGAAATGTCGCTGGGATGCCCAGAGGTGTGGGCTGGGGAGCGACGGTATGGAGGCAGCTGGAGGAAGAAGGGGCAGAGTAAAGGGAGGAAGCGAGGGCGTGAGCCAAAGAAAGTAACTGCAGTTAAAAATATAATAATAAAAAAATGGATTGATGGGCTGAAATGACACGACTCGTCTGTCTCTTAGCCCAGATCGTCAGTCCTGATGCCTTCCTGCGCCCCAAGGGAGGTGCCAGCCAGAGCACCGCGCTGAATTTGCAGCTGAAGGCCAAGAAGATGGTTAGAAAGTGTGCTGCCACTCCCACCTTAGCTAGAGCACCAACGAAGTTGGGAGGTACATTTTTTTTATCCAAGTAGTAACATTTAGTAGGATTTCAGGGGGTGGGGGGCAAAGAAGGACAAATTAAGTCCCAGAAAAGCACATGGTCTGTGATGACTAACAGTGACAAACATATATGCCAGTGGATGCACGGATACACCTGTGATCACGTTCTGCGTGTTGGCTCATCTGAACTCGGTCGTATTAAATCTGTGTGCATCAAACATATCTGAACACTCTGTGTGGAAACACTGAGCAACAGGAGCAGTACAATACCCAAGCTGGATTCCTCTGGCTCCTATCAGTTGCTTTTCTTGCCTTACAATGTGAAAAAACTACAGCACTACTAGATAGGGAAAAAAACACTTCGGCTATGAAAAGCAAGACTGTTAGCCTAGATTTCACTAACCACTCTGTTAAACCACGCTGGTCAGGGTAACTCAAACACTCAAAATAGGTTTCTCCTTTTAGATATTTCAGCCTGACTGAAGGATAAGGCCAAAGGAGGGAACCACATGTCATAAGATTTCTTCAGTTGCTTTGGGGTTTCCAGCTTTTGGCAAGAGAATCCCCTCAGATATTGTCAGGAAAGGCAATCTCTGGAAAATCCTGTGGGCAGCCAAATGGTTAGGTGGACCGATCTCCCAGTCTCCTAAGGATACATTAATTGGCAACAGGCATGCACTACAGCATTTCTTTAATGATGCTGTGCACTCAGGGCTGCTGATAACATTAACAAAGACCTCAGATTAAATCTGGATGGGAAAAACATGTTTGCTGTCTTTTCAAAAGACCCATCAGTAAGTAATTAGTAGATCTACCATACAAGCAAAACTCAGGAATATATGATTTTAAGCAATACAGAGTGACTGCTTCAGAAAAATATTGTACGGTTCCTGAGCAACCCTATAAGACCAAATGTAGTCCCTGCACCTTTTCAGAATTCAGTGGAGAATGAGTAACATAGAAGTATGAGGGCAGCACCAAGTAACCTATTTTATCAACTGTACCACATACCAGTACGTCATTCTTAAAGTAATATTTGGCTGATTACGGTTAATCACAGAATCACAGAATCTTCAGAGTTGGAAGGGACCTCTAGAGATCATCTAGTCCAACTCCCCTGCTAAAGCAGGATTGCCTAGAGCACATTACTCAGGACTGCATCCAGGCGGGTCTTGAAAATCCCCAGAGAAGGAGACTCCACAACCTCCCTGGGCAGCCTGTGCTAGTGCTCTGTCACCCTAACTGTAAAGAAGTTTTTCCGTGTGTTGGAACGGAACTTCCTATGTTCCAATTTACACCCATTGCCCCTC